CAACTCTATATTTAAAGGTTAATTATAGATTGATTTACATTGTACAATAGTTTATTCTAAAAATCTTAAATATTAAGTATCAATTTTTGCAAATAAACATCTTAGTTATTCATGATTAGTTGTGATTAATCTGTAATTACTTGTTTGGTTGTTAGAACACCAATAACTTTCAATAAGCTTTCATTTAAATTTTAGCTCGCGATTAATGTGCCAAAATAACATACAACTCACAACGGCAGTCTAGTTTCGGTAACAGTTACCATAATCAGGGTTAGTATCTAGATATTACGGAGCACAGTTTAGAGGCAATGGATCGCGAAAACACACACACACTCGAATCCACAGTTTGGGCAGCAAACTACCAGCAATACTACTCCTTTAATGTCGATGAAATACTAATGGTGAAGCATTGGTTTCTTATTTTATGAGAAAAAAATAGGTCATTAACACTATCATTACAATCCATATAATATAAAAAGTCAACTCAGAATTCCTTTTGATTAATAACGTTCTCAAATGATGTAATCCATGATCTTGCCAATTACCAAGTGTCAAGAAAAAACCCTGGCCAAAGTTATATAGATATTGTTACGTCTCTGTTTGTTTGATAATTTCTCGTAAAGATTCTTTCAGAAGAACTTCAGCGATACAAGTCCTTTCTTAAGTAAAACTAGTTTATTCTTTCTCAATACAACTTTGGAATAAACAGAATTTCCACAGTCACTTTCACTTCAACACACGCTATAATTTACAACGATTCACGCACTTTACTTACAGTCAATACCGCTCACTTGACTCAATTATCTGTCTCTAGATCTCTCCTCAGTCTGCTATTATTATCTCTCCTTTATTTGCCGGGCTTATATATTAAAATAAAGGGCGCTTGGAAAACACTAGAGTTGCCAAGAAAAGTCATGATCCTTCTAGAAACTCATGACATATTACCAGCGTCACGTGACTTCCGCTGTCGTAAAACTGCCCCTTCCTTAGTATTGCTCGTCCCGAACAATAGCCACTTACATTAAACCAATAAATAA